TGGTGGCTGACTAAATACTTTTTTGCCCCACTGTATATGTATGAAGAAAACCACCATTAAGTGGCAATAAGTTACTGTCTTAAGTGAGTCTTTGAATCATTAACTTAAACTATAAGTTGAAAAGGGTTGATTCAATCAGGAATGAAGCAAGGGACTTTGTATGAATGGGTAATTTAATTATTCACTCAATCAATTTGATCAAAACCAAAACTCCAATTGTGCTGATATTTGTGAAAAACAGCACTCTTGCTTATGTGATATTGCTTAACTATATCATATGTTAGAAATGTAACAAGCATTAACTCAGGGGGATTTTTTGATCTTGTATCTTTTAACTTTTATTCATTTCAGTGGCGTTTTTACCAAAAGCCCCAGTTAATTTCTGACTCTGGTACTTTGCTGTATAAGAGATACGTACCTCCATTAAGGCTAGTCTCCACAAACACTCGTATGGCTTTAACACAAAGTTCAAAGTTTTCTGGAGTGACGTGGGCAGCATCGCGTACGATGAATGAAAGCGAATCCACGCACTTGATGAGGGATTTGGTGTCATGCAGACCCATGTCCTGCCCAAGAGTTAAACTGTACTGGTTAATGAGAGGATAGGTCAGGGGCTTTGAACCTGGAGTCACTGCTGCCTTAGATCCCTCCAGATCATCTTTACCCACCTGCCCAAAACAGAAAGAAGTTATACGTCTATCCAAGTCAACATGCATAATAATGACAGGACATACACTGCCCTTAGTGAGGGTGGATCTGTCTCTAACACACTTCCTGCCTGGGGTTTTATGTGAACACTTACCACTAGCCAGCCTACATCCACATCGGTAGCTGAACGAGGTATTCTGGATTTGACATGCTCGGTGTAAACCTCAGAGTCAGACGTATATCCCCGGTCAAGACTAACTTCACTCTGATGATATGAACTCAGTTCGCTATCTGACTGAGCACCTGGAACAAAAGGATTACACAAGATGAGCCCATCTGGAAAAGGACTTTAGGCCACACTCGACTGTGTCTTGAGGTGCACTAACAGACAAAATGGTTAGAAATGACCGATTCACCTGTGTCATTGTCTGGGTTGGTGTTGGCAACCTGCAGGGCAGCCGGAGGTTTGATCCCAGCCCCGATGCACTCCAAAAGTGAAAAGAGCGTGTACCAGTCGTCAGTGCAGTGGATGTTGGCAGCATTGGTTTTAAGCAGCTCATGCAAACCATAGGCCACCTCTCGACAGACTCTGGACAGGACGTGAGGCTTCATCATCAACAGCAAGCGAAGAGAGAGGAGAACCTGTGCAGAGAGGGATGAAACCGCTTAGATGCCCGTTTGGCCCGCTTCCCACTTTAGAGTTTGTACTGTATGTGTCGAGTGTGTGTACCTGTGAGCCTATGTCCTCTCTGCGCAATAAGCGGATGGCGAGTCTGAGCAATCCCACCACTGCTCTCTCCACCAGGAAGCAGCTCTCACTGGCATGGACGCATAACTGGTACAGATGATCCCGTACCGTTTGCCAAACACATGATACTCTGTCCCTGCAAACACAGTCATCTGTCTATTAAAATCTACAAGCTGCCGTATCTTCGTCTGACTCCATGGACTAGTAATTCTCAATGACGTAATGCAACGTGTTAATGAGTGCAGTACCTGTTTTCAAGAATAATACGTAGCAGCATCTCCAGACAAAAAGCAGCATCTTCTTCATCGTATGTTTCCTCATCAGGGGTCACCGAGATGAGAGCCTGGAAACATAAAAATTACATAACGAACAAACCTTTAAGTAATACTGTAAGTAATACACTAAAGAAAGAAAATGGTTTCGTTCTCGTATACACCCAGCCTTTCTAAGTGGACCTCACCTTCATGAGTTCCTGTAAAGACTCCAATTGCAGAAACTTGCTTTCGGTAATCAGCTTTTCTGGGTCACAGTGCTGATGTGAAGAAAGAAGAAATGTGAGAAAATTATTTTATTCATATAGGCCAGCATATTTTTCAGATGGAGTAATGATTCAGACCGACTTCTTACCGCAATGCCTTTTGTAAGTGAATGCGTGTTAGAAACAAAACTCTTGTTGTGCCTTGTTGTGGTCTTGTTGTTGTGGAAATGTTACGCCCCTACCTTACTGTGATGCCGTGTCCGGCCGGAGCGACGAGACAAAAACATTAAAACCCATTATAAACGAGGCATTTGTAGCATCCAGTGCGGACGCAATTACTGATTATAATGACTTATACTGTCTTTTTACGCGTTGCGTTGCATCGCGCCGCGTAAACTTAAAACTATGTCTGCATTTGTGATCGGAGAAACGACAAACAACAAGCGCTACTCTACACTGCTCAAAACTTGCGTTTGAATCGTCAGTGGCAAATCCTTTAAATATGAAAACGTGCTTAAAGGCTGTGAGTCAGCATTATTTGTCAGAAAACCGGCATTGTAGGCTACTCTCCCAGGAAACAGTCCTCATAAAATGCGTTGCGCGCACACAAATATTTGGGTTGAACTGTTCTGGAACAGTGCTGTAAATACAACTTAACCACTGATTATTAGTCGTGTCCTCTTTTGGAAGGCCAAACAAAGTATTTTTGCTTTCACAACGAAACACACAGCGTCTCCACAACATGGCGGTGGCGGCAACAACAATACTACAGCGAGAATCAAAGTCACGCCTTCTTTCTTTGCGTATACATTTGATTACAGATTACAGTCTCTCAAACCCAAAGAGATATTCTTTATAAGAGTTCAGAATCATCCACGGCCTCCTAAAATGCCTCGTTTAAACACGCCCCCACATGTCTACATCACTGTGTGGGCGTGTTTAAACGAGGCATTTTAGGAAGGCGCGGACGAGTCTTAACTTTTATAAAGAATATCTTGTTGGGTTTGAGACTTTAGTCTTTGCAACTTTAGGGATCTTATCTATTCACAAACAGCTTGTAACACTCCAAAAAGAACGGAAAACTTGAAATCGCATCATATGACACATTTAAACGCTTTGTGCAAAACCAGTCTACCAATCTGCAGGTCTTACCTGAACCCAGCGATGGCTTTCTGAATGATAGTGTCATCCAGGCTCTTGTCAAAAACGTAGGAGAGGGCAGCAATGGTGGGTCCCCAGGTCATGGTGAAGAGGTCGCGGTCGTAACTGCTTTCAGGCACATGTAGGAATATCCCTTCAGACGAGGCTCCTCTGTGCAGCAGAACACTCCACACATAGTTCTCCTTCACCAGCCCTGTTTGCTCATCAGGCATCACGATCTCCTCGTTCCTGCAGGACCACATACATATATTTTGGCTTATCCCATCTGAGCCACTGTATACATCAATATATCCATACACTTAATGACCAGAGACATGAGGTTTATAACAGAGATAATAAACAAACTCATCAAGAAGGACTTTTTCAGCTGTTCAGACTGGTACTTGTATTTATAATAGGATGCATTAAATTTATCAACAATTAAAGTAAAGATTTTTACATTGTTACAAATAGTAACATTGTTGCTGATCTCATATGAAATTTTACTTATATTAGAATGATTTCTGAAGGATCATGTGACAATGAAGACTGGAGTAATGATGCTGAAAATTCAGCTTTGCATCACAGGAATAAATTATCAACAGTCAGTGGGTCATCCGTGTTGCTGAGCCCTAACATTCTGAATGTGGTTTTATCAGCCTGAAGTTCACAAAAACATTTATTGTATGTCAAATTACCAGTTATACTTTATATAATGATATTACAAGTGTTCAATAAGTAAGAGATAATGAAAACTATATGTGAGCACTAAAGCAATAACTAACTTGATGGCATTGTAGATGTCTTCCAGCATGTCTTGATCGAAGTCATTTCCTCCATTCACACCTTTGAGATTCTTCTTGAATTGCTAGACAAATAAAACAAAACAACAAACAGGAGGAGGAAACTGATTAAAATGCCTTCATTCCATCCAATTACTGCGACATCCTCCGACTATCACCTTTCAAATCCAATAATTGGTCTCAGTTTATTACTGCTGGTGTCACTTAATAGGTGTTAGTGTTAAGCAGGCTGGTCTAAGGCCAACCTCAGCTCAAATAAACACACAGACGTCCGCTGCTGAGTGATGGCGTTAGGCCACTGTTTTACTGCATACTTTCTTAATGGCAGGTAAAGCAAGGGAAACCTGAGCTGCCCCACGAGAGAAGGATGAACAGAGGAGTAAACAGAGGGTCTTTCCAGAACTGCATTTTCCATGGCTGGAGAGCCGGAGCAGACGCACACACGCTAGCTGACACAGAGACAAGACAGCTGGACGCGCCGTCTGCCAAAAGCCCAGTCCCGCCTCGTCTCCTGCTGCTCGCCTTTCACTTCGCCGCCGCTTATCCCCCTCTGTGCTCGGGCTGAATACCTGCTGATTACCATTCCCACTGCTCCCTGTATTCCTTTACAACACCAGTGCTTTTAGCAGGAAGATCTGCGTGATCATCTGTTTAAATGGATCTGATGCTAATGCATGGAAAACTCAAGGTGTCTGTGGGCGCAGATGAAAAAATGCCACCAGCCGCAGCCACGTATCTAAGGGTGAATCTCATGAAGACATGTCCAGGTCACATTTCACACCAAAACAAAAAAGGCAAAAAAAAACACCCCAATAAAAGGATTTACTATTATTTTAATTCATTTTTTTTTCTTTTGCCTGTGTTTAAGCCTATTTTTAGAACCCTGAAGGAGAAAATCAAGCATATTTCCATCAATTATTTTTGTATTTCCCATTATTATCATCATTACTGTAATACAGTAATTCTATACTCATTACTTAATATTTTCTATACATATTTATAGTACTGTAATATCATTCCTAAACAACAAATACAATACATATATGTATACAACACACGCACGTATACATACACAGTGTTCAAAGGTTTGGGGTCGGTAAGATTTCTTTCATGCTTTTAAAAAAATATTCATTGTGCTTTTAAAAGTCTCTTATGCTCACATGTTATTTGATTTAAAATACAGTAAAATTCTAATATTGTCAAATATTATCTTAAAATAGAAAACATGTTTTAAATTGTAATATTTTAAAATGCAATACATTTATCCGCATCATTACTCCAGTCTTCATTTCCTTCAGAAATCATTTACTATTTGAAACGGAAATCTTTTGTAATATTCTTCTTTTCATAGTTCTGTACTATCCTTTCTGATCCCCAAACATTTAAAAAAGTAGTACATATATTTTTTCACATTTAGGTAATCAGAATAAATTATTTGAATTTTTTTGTTTTAATTAATTAATTAACTTATTTTATTTATTTATTTTCTTTATTATGGTAATGACAACATGATTTTTGTATTACAGTACTGACATTTGCTTAACTGTCAATGTCACAATGCAAAAAAATCTTAAACGACAAAAAAATATTTCAATACAAATTCATAACTGATCTTTTTTTGCTTTTGGTGTAAAGGATTTTTTTTTTTATTGGGTCCCATGAGATTCACCAGTACTTTCTTATTGTAAAACATTTGAGAGTTATAGAAATTTAGTTTCGGTGAAGCATGATAGATAAACATGGTTAAGTGTAATATACAACAACAACAAAAAGCAAAAATTGCTTTGAAATCATTAATAATATGTTTGTAAATGTGCGACTGCTGTGGCTGAGCTTAAAGCTCCACTAAATCGAGGCCAGTTGTTTGAAGCACGTAAAAGTGAGACATGGCTACATAACAGTAATCTGCATGTGTGGCAAATCTAGAGAGATTGTTTCATAACATGCTTACATAAATAACACGTAATACACTTATCTTAAACTGTCAAGTCATAGAGCTGAAACTGATCTCTCAGAAAGGGATTGCATGTGTGGCCCTAAACATGTGAATGACACTTGGATGTCCATGTGGTTAACAGGAACATGTGTGGCTCACCTCCAACGTCATGGGGATGTTCTGCTTTCGTACGTTATGGTTGTGCTGATCGGTGTTTAGCATGATGACTGCATAAGCCAGGGCGAAGCCAGCATCGTTTGACTGGAAGGGATTACCGTTCACTTTCTGCACACAAAAGAACAAGGCCATACAATTGACTGCGAGCGCAAGAATAGTATCATCAAATCACATAATATGTACACTCTTTACAGGAGCGTTTTGAAGATCATTCAACACTAGAAAAACATAAAAGGGCACAGTAATTCCTCCGGGATCTCCTACTAGTGTAAATGTCAGACACTGAATCCATTCCAGTTTCGATACATCGCTGCTTCGGGGGGGGGGGGGGCACAAACCCCAGTGACTACGTAGTGATTGAGAATGGCGCCTAAGAAAAGAAATTTCTACGAATACTTTCCAGGTCACCCGCAGAGAGCTGCCTTTAATAAGCGTGTTCGAAATGTCCTCGGATCGCCTGAGCTGCTTTCTGCAGGCCAGATGGATGTGTCTCACTTCCCAGTGCAACATTTTCCTCTTCCCCGATTACCTGCGTGACTAATGACCCTGTCCTTGATCCCGAGCGAACTGCTGTTCCGCTGGCCCTAATTACCTGATGATGGGGCCAGTTGGTGGCCAGGATTGCCTTGGAGTGTGGTAATGGAAGAACTGTAAGAATGCTTGTGTCTGTGACTGCAGCGAACCTACAACCTATTTAAAGAGTATATGTGTGTGTTCCCGCTCGAGTTTATATATATTCATGTCAGTCCTTGCCAGTCTGTGCTTGTGTGTGTGTGTGTGTGTGGCAGCTGACTTACTTGCCAGTTGTCAGTGAAGGTTTCCAAGAGCCGATGAATGACAGGCGCTTCGCCAGGAAGACGGAATGCCTCCAGATACAAGCGGAGCGCCTCGTCTATGCGCAGGCCCTGGAAGGTGAAGGTGCTGAAGAAGAGATAGAGATGGCCTTAAATTAACTTTAAGGTATAATTATCTCAAGCTCCATACTGACAGTTACTTTGAGCCTGATAGTAATCATGAGTGAGAATAACATCTATAGCTAAAGGATCACGTCCAATTTTCAGGTATTAGACTCAGACAAGAAGTTGGAAAAACAAGAAGTTGGTGTTGACGAATGTTAACACCACAACCATCTCAACTACTTGGGCCACTTCATTATTGTCCATGGGGCTGCTGAGCAGGCCTTTCTCCTGCAGGATCTGAAAGCCCTTCTTGGGCTTCTGATTGAACTGCTCATTTTATTCCACATTATAATAAGAAATTAATTTTTCTGTTAACGCTTTAGTTTAGGGACCAATTCTAACTATTAACTAGTTGCTTATTAGCATGCCTATTATTAACATTGGCTGTTTGTTAGTACTTATAAAGCACATATTCTGCATGACCATATTCTACATCCCTAATCCTACCCAATACCTAAACTTAACAACTACCTTACTATTAGTAAGCAGCAAATTAGGAGTTTGCAAAAGTCGTAGTTAGTGGTTTGTTAGTAGCGAGAATTAGACCTTAAAATAAAGTGTGACCATTTTTCTTAAAGTAATCCTAAAATGGGTTTCATTGCTTTTAAACAGAACATAATTTCTTTTTTCTTAACATTTCTTCACTATTTTCAACAACTGTAGTAACAAACTACATCTCCGACTGATGCTTTTGAGTTGGCAATATGCAGCATACCAAAAAACATGTTATAAAGAGGAGGTTTACTTGACAAAACTGTCGAGCAAGTCAGTGTTCCTGCGGTCACTGATAAACTCTCCAATCATCTTCTTGTCCAGGCGGGGGTTTTCTCTCAGCCACTGGGCCACTTCATTATTGTCCATGGGGCTGCTGAGCAGGCCTTTCTCCTGCAGGATCTGAATGCCCTTCTTGGGTTTCTGATTGAACTGCTCTGTACCCGTGATCAGAAGCTTTGAAGTATGAAGAAAACGCATGTAATTTTAGTACAAATTTGAAGGTTTTAATATTCACAAAGCAAATAACTGCACATGAACAGCTCACCTTCTTCTTGTTCTTGATCTCTAAAAGTTCCTGAGAGTCTGGAAGACTGCTGGTGAAGCGATGAGGCTTCTTCAAGCTTTTCTTCTCTGCAGGATTAAGACAAAGCAGCATTTGATCACTTTAAATCCCTGAATGTTTATTGCAAATCAGTGAGTATTTTGTCTTGGTTGTTTGTTGCATTTCACAGGCAAAACATCAGTAAAGTACCCGTGTCTGTCTCCTCCTGGTCCTGTCTACCTAATCTCATCTTCTCTGCCATCAGATGACCACTGGTGGGAGGACAGGCAGTCCTCGTGTCTGACACTACAGCATTCTGCCCATTAGAACTGGGTGCAGATTTGCCAGCCTCTGTATGCAGTGAACAAAGGAAGAAGAGTTTGCCATTATGAGAAACAAAAAAGCGAATTCCTTTTTTTACATTTGTTACATCACTTCTGTTAGGGTCTCTCTGGGATTCTTGATTCTGCCCACCTGTTGTTGAATCTGTGATTGTATTGACCGAACGTTCTCCTCCTACTGTCGTTGATTCTGACTGGTCCTGCTGTGCAGCGCTGTTGAGCACTTTGGCCTGACAATGAGCCTCTGTGCTGTCAATCACTGTCAGTAGGGCTTCGAGTGACAGGAGATGGGTTGTGTAGAGCTGCCCAGACACTGGAAAGGCATTCTGGAGTACAAAAGCACTATTAATCAACTTCATCATAATGTCAGAAACGTTCAGGAATTTCAATTAGAGGTGAAACCTCTTCTGTAAAAAATAATAATGGTAATAAAAAAAATACAAATAAATGTCAGTGTAATGCATTTTGCTAACGCATGTATAGCCTAATCCCTGTAGCAATGTGCTTGTAAAAAGGATTCTTTAAAAAAATTTAAATTGGCAACGCAATCATCAGCCCATGGCAGTTTAACTGCTTAAATGCTGAAATTGTTATGAACGAGGAGCACAGAATTATAATACAAAGCTGGGTTATTATAGTTTTTTTATGGTTTAAGTTACTATAAATAAAATAACTATTAATAAAAACATCTCATAAAAAAACAGAAAATATATATTTTTAATTATAATAGTAGTCTTAATGTTATTAAAATAACACTAATACAAAATCGAATACAAGTGTATTTTCCACAATTGATACATTTTCAATCCATTATAATGTCATTATGTGAATTTTTTTTTTTTTTACTTTGTGTAGCTCACAAAATATTTATCAAAAGGTAATGCAATTAAACTTTACATAACTAGAGGCACCAAATAGTATCCAAGGACTATTTTCAAACTCTAGATCCACTTCTTTTTCACTAGTCCCCGAGTTGGAGTCACTCACCTTAGAGAGCAGTTTGGTGAGGTCCTCAAACAGGTTGGAGCAGTAAAAGTCACTGTCGTAATTTATATAGAGCTCTGTGACAAAGCTGGGGATTCTCCAGAGCTGCACGATGGCCTCTAAAGCCATCTCCTTCATCTCATAGGGCATTTTAGGGTTCTCTGAGGTAATGATGTCCATTAGCTTCTTCAGGTACATCTGTGGAGACATACAAAGAGTGACTTCTTGCATCTAAGATGACTTGTATTTCACCACAGGAAAATCATAGTTCAGTCACGTACCTCAAGCTGAAACTTCAGATGTTCTCGCATGCATTCAAAGAGAAGAAAACACACACGTATGGAGGCGGCATACAGATTCATTCGGTCCACACACAACAACTACAAAGAGACACAGAGAATATTTACTACAGCTGAAAACATCAGAGAAATGCACAAGTTAGATTAGAGAAGAACAAAGTTTCACCTGTGTGAGGTGCCTACAGAGCTCATCTTTGACAAGACAGAGCAATGACTGGTAGGGGGCGATGTGTGCGGCTTCTAGGGCCACGTTTAACAGCTGGAGGCCCATATGCATCATCACATCGGAGTTATGGCGGTCATGTGGGTTGGTGAGAGAGATGAGGAACCGGAAGAGCTCTCTCAGGCACGGGAGACTGTACGGGATTAGAGCAGCACCTGGAGAAACACAAAGGTACCAATTGGTGTGAAGCCATTTTGACATCAGGCCTTTGACGTAAATTTTGGATACACTATTCCTCTTACCCTCTTTCTGGGTGGACTGTGTAAAGCGCACACCTCTCGGGTTCACGTAGTCTATGTCGTGAACTGATGCCGAATCCGACTGGTCAGCCAGCAAGTCTCGGTCTTCCAGGACTTCAGGAATGGACTCGACTGAGGCCGACTGGGCACGCTCCACTTCCCTGCCCTCAGACTGATGACACAGTGCACCATACCATCAAACTCTGAACACATGCACTTGGATAGTTTATTGACAGTCTGAGGGATACCTGTGATTCCAGTCTGCCTGGCTCTACGGAGGGTGTCATGGGAGTGGTGGCCGTTGAGTTGCTCTGCTCCAGGTCTGTGAGATCTTCCTTTGATGTGGTTTTAGAGCCGGTGTCTAAGCCACTGTCAGTGGTGGGGCTGGAGATGGAGGACGCTGCACTGTCTGAACCAGGAAGAGTAGAAGAACCTCCACTGTGCTGCTCTATGAAAGGAACTCCACCTGAAATAGACACACTGGGATGAGGACAGGGTGATTATGATGGCAAAATACATGTTCGTGAAGGAATTCACTATTCCTTCTTGGTTCAAGTCTTGCAAGTAAGAGAGCGTACTCACAGAGATATTTTAATAGCAAAGTTCAAAAGCTAATTAAAAAGTAATTTCAAAAAATTGATTCATTTAACTGTGATTCAACTATTTGTTTGAGTCACTGCTCAAAAGATGTCCACAGAAATGTCCACATCAAAATACTGCTGTTTATTACTATGTATTGGTACATATACGCCACTATAAGTTTGGGGTCATTTTTGTAAGAATGTAATGTTTTTATTTAGCACGGATGCATTAAATTGACCAAAAATGACAGTAAAGACATTAATAATGTTACAAAAGATCTTGGTAATACTTGGCTTCACAACAAGGTCCCATTTATTAGCATTAGTTATTGCATTAACATTAACACTAAGCAAGACATCTGTTACTATATTTATAAATCTTTGTTTACATTAGTTAATAAAAATACAGCTGTACATAGTTTGTGTCAGCTCAGATCCAATAAAGGGGTCATATGATGCTGCTAAAAAGAACATTATTTTGTGTATTTGGTGTAATGAAATGTGTTTATGCAGTTCAAAAAACACATTATTTTCCACATACTGTACATTATTGTTTCTCCTCTATGCCCCGCCTTTCTGAAACGCTTCGATTTTTACAAAGCTCATCAGTCTGAAAAGCGAGGTGTGCTCTGATTGGCCAGCTATCTAGTGCATTGTGATTGGTCGAATACCTCAAGCTTGTGATGGAAATGTTACGCCCCTACCATACTGTGATGCCCTGTCCGGCTGGAGCGACGAGACAAAAACATTAAAACTCATTATAAACGAGGCATTTGTTGCATCCAGTGCGGACATAATTACGGATAATGCTTATACTGTCTTTTTATGAGTTGCATCGCGCCGCGTAAACATAAAACCATGTCTGCATTTGTGATCGGAGAAATGACAAACAAGCGCTACTCTACACTGCCCAAAACTCACGTTTGAATCGTCAGTGGCAAATTCTTTATATATATTTATAAAAAAAAAATAATAAATAAAAAAAATAAAAAAAACTTACTTATAGTCTGTGAGTCAGAACAGCCGGCATTGTAGTCTACTCTACCAGGATCAGGAAACGGTCCTCCATAAAATGTGCTGCACACATCTGAATATTTGGTTTGAAGTGTTCTGGAACAGTGTTGTAAATACAACTTAACCACTGATTTCTAGTTGTGTCCTCTTTTGGAAGGCGAAACACAGCGTCACACACGGCGGCCTTGAGTGAGGAACGCCTGGCGGCTAGAGTGAGCGGCGGCTGGCGGATTCGACGAAGGAGCGGCCGGGGGGCTTGCGGCAACCATATGTGACGACCCCGGGCTGGACTCCACGGCTCCATGGCAACTTTACAGATCTTCTTTATGCACCAAGAGCTTGTAACACTCCAAAGAGAAAGGAAAAATTTCAATCCCATCACATGACCCCTTTAAACAATATTAACAGCTACGACTTTTGATTTTAATAAAACACTAGTAAATGTTGAAAGTAACTAAGATTAATAAATGCTTTAGAAATATTTTCTATTGTTAGTTAGTTAAGTAATGTAGTGGAACCTTATTGTAAAACATTAACAAGATTTCTATTTCAAATAAATGCTTTTATTTTTAACATTATTTTAAAATTATAATAATATTTTACAATATTACTGAAAATGTGATCAAGTAAAGGCAGCTTCTTTCAAAAACACAAAAAAAATCTTACAGACCCAAACTTTAATTAGTAATGTGAATGAAAATTACTTAAAAACATAAGCTGGATCTAACGGACTTATGTTGGTATACCTGAAAGGTTGTTGGTGAGGGTACTGGACTGGCCTGGATCCATCTGTCCTGAGGGACTGCGTACCATGTGACGAGGGGGGCGGGGAGAACGCTTCTGTTTCTTCCACTTGGATGACTCGCTCATTCCCCCGGCTCTCATCTTTAGCTTCAAAACAAACACAGACTTGTTAAATCAAGCCAAACGCTGCAGTTCACTGCACAAAAGAACCAGGCAGGAGTGCAAGACGAAAACATAATCTCATGACACCTCAAATTATCATAAAAAACAATGCCACCACTCAAAAAGATGCATAAGCACACACATAGTCCTATCATTTTATCAAAAAACTCTTGGGTCTTTATGTATGCTGAGGTGATTGTGTTCACTTTTATCAGTATATAAATGTTTAAAATCAGCAAAACTAATGTGATTTACATACAGGATGTTATTATTTGTATAGGGATGAGAAGCAATAAAAATGGTACCAGTTACTTAATCACATTAATGTTTCTTTTATTATTTTTGAAGAAACATCTGACAGTAGTGCACCCTCACAAACAGAACAGAATGATGTGATTCTAGAGAAAGATTTTTCTCTTTTTTTTTTTGCCCATTTTTTTAGGCAAAAATGTTGTTTACGAATATATTTACCCCCATTTCCAAAATTCTAGTAGTAAAATTATTTTCAACTGATGTTTCTACAGTAACAAATCAACACATTTGTGGCAATAATGGCGTTTGTCAGCATAGTGTTTTCACATTCAATTCCGATTGCAAGCTCACAACTCAGCTACCCATTCATTCTCCTATAGGGAATTTTAAAAAGTCTTCAAAGCAAACCAATATTGAAAATTGGACAAGTCAAAGGTAAAGAACTGTGTATTTAATGGCTTTAATTTGGAAAGAGCTAGAATCCCATAAAGTAGGGCTGCAAGATTAATTGTATTTTATTCATGATCACAATTTCTGCTTTTCTCAATTAATTTAATATAATCATCTGTAATATTTGCCCACTGGTTATTTATGCGGAGAAGGACTTTTTTTTTTTTTGACATTTCCTTTCTCCTGAATTAGTAACAAGCCTCCACAAGCTTTCATGCTTGTGGTTGCCAGATGTCAAGAGTTTAAATTCCCTAATCAAAGCTTCTCTCTTAAATGGATACATTTTCTGCCCAGTGTTTTACTTAATCTTTCCAAGCTGGCAACCTTGCGCACATGCTCTCTCCACACTAGGTGCTGAATAAATGCACTTACGCAACATCTGTGCCACAAAATAATGTGTGTTGTTTTAATAGAAAACAACAAACAATTTGTAATTATTGTAATTAACAAAAGGAGTTTAACTGCTTTTTAGAAATCCTGAAGGTTTTAAGGCGGGCATACACGGTGCAATTTTTGCTGTTGTACGAGCTCGCAGGCGATTTTTTTTTATCTCGGGAGAAAATTGCAGATGCTCGCGGTTCGTACCATGTGAGAAGAATTACGGGCCGATCCGAGACGTTACGAGCACCTCCCGTCCTCCTGATAATTTTCAAACATGTAAAAAAAAAATCGGATGCTGTCGGTTTAAATTTGTGGCATATGTGCGGTTGACCTATACGATTTGGCGATCCCTCTGAAGTTGACCAATCAGAAGATGACAAAAACCATATAGTCTATAATAATTTTAGTTTAATTATACAGTTCTATTTTTTATTTGTTATTCCGAATGTGCCAAATTTGCTGTTCAGCTTTATGAATGAATATGCCTGTTGTATTTCCGGCAAAACAAGCAGAAATTCAGAAATGGGCTACTCCCTCGAGTTGTTTATGAAGAACAGAATGTCCATGCTTTTCTCTGCTTTTCAGCCATTGTCTTTGCCATGTCCTTTGTCTTCGTTTTTTTTTTTTTGGATGTCACAAGCCGCCTGCTACAAAGAAAACTATTTCATCCTCAGAATCCATATTTTTATGAATGGCGCGAAACGTAATGCTTGCGTCAGAGTTTGTAAAATCGTAGTAAATTCGTGTCGTGTGTGACTGCCTCCGTACAATTTTCGGATAAACTCAATCGTGACGTGCCAGAGCTCACGATGTTACGACCTTCAGAATCGCACCGTGTACGCCCGCCTTTACAGTTTTTCATATAATATAGACCAGGGGTGGCGAACGTCGGTCCTGGAGAGCCGCAGCCCTGCAGAGTTTTGCGTCAACCCTAATCAAACACACCTGAACAAGCTAATCAAGGTCTGAAGGGTTACTAGAAAGCTACAGGCAGGTGAGTTTTAATTAGGGTTGGAGCTGTACTCTGCAGGGCTGCGGCTCTCCTGGACCGGAGTTCGCCACCGCTGATATAGACTGTTAATGTAGATAAATATAATAAATCAGCAAACTAGAAAAAGGTAAAATTATTCTCTTGATTTATGCTTATGTGAAGGTGCAATAATTCTAAAAAAATGTAAAAAGAAATTCTCAAATGAGAATGATTATAATTTGATTATCAGTTTATCCATTATTGTGCAGAATTATCTGATTGATGATTTCTTTAAAGAAGCATGGGTAACAGTTACAACAAAACCATATACCATCAATGAACAAACTCACAGTTCACAGTAAGTCTTTCTTTATAGCATATTGTTAAAAAACAACTCCCCTATGGAGAAAATGAATGGGATTATTACTTCCAGAACCTGATTATTGCACTCTATTGTGGTGCAGAAAATTGTCTAGCATTTTAGTCAGTTTTTTCATATGCATTAGCAGAAGAATGCAGTTAAATGTGTTTTTAATTAAAATACATTAAAAACAAACTGAAACAGTATCAAAAAAACCATCTAATGCTTGTCTCAGCTTGTTTCACTAGCTTTCAAGAAACACTGTATTCAGTGAATTCTAACATCAACATGAGACCAAAAAAGTAACAAAGAACTTCAACCTGGACCTGTTATACTGTCATAACACTGTCATAGGTTAAATACATGGGGGTTGTACAAGGTTAAAGTGAGTCTGATCTCTTCTTCCTTACCTGCACTCGTTTGTTTTTCCATAAGATATTGTAAGCCTCAGGAGAGAAGGGGCAGGCCCCGGGATTAGTGATGGACATGTCACAAGCTCAGAGGGAGACGCATGACATGGGAGCACATACAACTTCATGCATGGGGTGTACATGGGAGAAATCGACACGCATACCAGGACGACATCCATGCACACACATTCATTATCAGGAACTCAACACGCTCATTCAACGACATTAACCCGATGCAGCTCTGAGAGGAAACGGGGGAAGTAGCACCTCAGCATACGTTACAAACAAACACCTATTAATTGGGGAGACTAACCAAGGATAAAAAATAATAGGTGCAATAAACAGACCAGGAACACACAGAGCATGCAAAATGGCAGTCAAATAGGATTTCTGGTCTTTAAAGAATAAAACAAACAAAAAACCACTCGAATGAATATAAATTCAAATGCAGAAAGTAACATTCAAATGAAACTATGGAACCAAAATGAACATATGAAAATAAAAGTCCTGATGTGGTTTCACCTCAACTCAGTGTATTTGCATAAAGTATAAAGCTGGACCTAAACTACAGGTATGTTACATAGTTTACCCATGACTGTTCATCTAATATTCTTTTTTTAGAATGAGACATCTCTCTAAATTCACTTCATACTCATTTGAAGTATTATTTACAAACCCTAATATTTCCATATTCAAAAAACACTGTTTAACAATCCATAGAAATAGCTACTTGCACATTTCCGTTTTTTTTTTTTGAAGGGATGATTTGGGTCTAGAACTAGTTAAGCTTCATTGACAGCATCTGTGGCACAACGTCAGTTACCACAGACCAAGGGTTCCCCAAGTTTTTTGCCAGCCAAACCCCTTTGACAAAAGATTTTCTTCAAGCACCTCCTGAGATTTTAAGGTAATAATAATTTAACAGCACATTTGCATGACATGCACAGAAACATAACATTTTGTCTTTGTAAATGTTTAGATTTCTTTTTTTTTCTTTTTTTTATATTTTTACTATTTAAAAAAAAAAAAAAAACACTGTATTCAGTGAATTCTAACATCAACATGAGACCAAAAAAGTAACAAAGAACTTCAACCTGGACCTGTTATACTGTCAAAACACTGTCACGGGTTAAATAAATAGGGATTGTACAAGGTTAAAGTGAGTCTGATCTCTTCTTCCTTACCTGCACTCGTTTGTTTTTCCATAAGATATTGTAAGCCTCAGGAGAGAAGGGGCAGGCCCCGGGATTAGTGATGGACATGTCACAAGCTCAGAGGGAGACGCATGACATGGGAGCACATACAACTTCATGCATGGGGTGTACATGGGAGAAATCGACACGCATACCAGGACGACATCCATGCACACACATTCATTATCAGGAACTCAACACGCTCATTCAACGACATTAACCCGATGCAGCTCTGAGAGGAAACGGGGGAAGTAGCACCTCAGCATACGTTACAAACAAACACCTATTAATTGGGGAGACTAACCAAGGATAAAAAATAATAGGTGCAATAAACAGACCAGGAACACACAGAGCATGCAAAATGGCAGTCAAATAGGATTTCTGGTCTTTAAAGAATAAAACAAACAAAAAACCACTCGAATGAATATAAATTCAAATGCAGAAAGTAACATTCAAATGAAACTATGGAACCAAAATGAACATATGAAAATAAAAGTCCTGATGTGGTTTCACCTCAACTCAGTGTATTTGCATAAAGTATAAAGCTGGACCTAAACTACAGGTATGTTACATAGTTTACCCATGACTGTTCATCTAATATTCTTTTTTTAGAATGAGACATCTCTCTAAATTCACTTCATACTCATTTGAAGTATTATTTACAAACCCTAATATTTCCATATTCAAAAAACACTGTTTAACAATCCATAGAAATAGCTACTTGCACATTTCCGTTTTTTTTTTTTGAAGGGATGATTTGGGTCTAGAACTAGTTAAGCTTCATTGACAGCATCTGTGGCACAACGTCAGTTACCACAGACCAAGGGTTCCCCAAGTTTTTTGCCAGCCAAACCCCTTTGACAAAAGATTTTCTTCAAGCACCTCCTGAGATTTTAAGGTAATAATAATTTAACAGCACATTTGCATGACATGCACAGAAACATAACATTTTGTCTTTGTAAATGTTTAGATTTCTTTTTTTTTCTTTTTTTTATATTTTTACTATTTTTAATTGTTATAATTATTACTTTTAAATTGCTTGTTTAAAGTAAAGGGCTGCATGATTTGGTAGGAAAAAAATTACTGGGATTAATTTGGAATGTACTGCAAATTGAACTGCGATATGATAAATGTTTCATAAAAAACATCTTATGAACTCCTGTTTTAAAAGCACAAAATTCTTAACTACTTTTTATCTGTGAATAGTAATAGTAAAATTATATTAAATTTTCAAGCAATTTTGTCAGTTTAGGTAATACAAAGTTTCGCCTTGAAATTTGAATAGAAGCATTTTGAACAAGAAGAAATGACATGCCATAGATGTTGTCAGAATAGCTGAAATTGTATTGGATTGAGATTATCCCTTTAAAAAGATGAGAACTCATTTTTGTTGCTATGATAAATGGCTGCTTTTATTCCTTAGCGAATCTCCCCACCATGCATTCAAACATAAAGCCATGCGTCCCGGCGTATTTAAATGCACTAGCTGCAACCCAATAAAAACTGCTGTTTTAATGCATGTAAATGTGCTATACCCTCTCTAAGCCCGTCTGATTGGTGTTTCTAGGCTGATCTGCATAAATAAAATCCTGTGTGTCCAGAATACAGCCTGGGATCTGCGAGTTGGAACAGGCAAATGGGCACAGGATGAACTCGACAACAAAAATCAGGTATGAAAAGACAGGAGAAGAGAAAATCTTTGATCCCTAAACAATTGAGATGAAAAGAAGCAAAGGTCTTTCAAATACAGAACCAACTGTGACTGGAAAACACAGTTAACTCTCACTACATATTATTTTCCATCGCCTCACCTGATGGATGACACACACACAGGTATAATAATTATGCAACAGCTACTGACCTCACTTATGGTTATGAAGACCTCTACGTAACAAAGCTCATAAAGTAAATGAGAAATGAGGAAGGCTGATGGGAAACAGGTGTAAAGGGTCTGGAGGGAGAATGAAGATCTGGGGAGGATTTTATATTTACCTTCTTCATGTTAGTGCCAACATAACTCTTGGCCTCCTCTTTGAACTGTGGCAATCTGAAAAACAAATATTACAATATTACTGCATGCATTTATGGCGCCACTTTTTTATGAGTGTTATAGAGGTGAAGAGTGACATTTTTGAACTACTACTAGCACAAATACAGAACCACAATCTGTGTAAGTGGCCCAACTGGGTGTGACATAATATTGAACCAACTGCATGAGTTTGGGATGAAACCGTGTTTGTCTGACCAAAGACAGAGAGTTGTTATTTTCACAGTTCTGTTTGGTGTGACAAGCTCTGCAGAAATAACAGTTTGGTTTTAAAGGTCAATGTCTTTCAAAAATTTTATTTGAAAATTATTCTCTAATGTACAAATCTGGGATTTTCAAACTCCAGACACACTTAAACCAGTGTATCATTCAATCATTCATTTTTTCATTTAATATTGAAAGAAGAAAAATTTGAAAACGGCTCCTTTTTCGTTTTTTTCCCAAAAAACGACAATTCCGCTTAAAAACCACAGGGAATACTTGTCTTTTAAAAGGCTTCATTTAGATTATTTGACGTTAAATGCATCAAATAAGTCACATTGGAATAAATCACAGTAGGCCTATGTATCATGATAAAAAAAAAAAGCGACTTTACGGTCTGGAAATACTTTAGGCTATAGCAAATTATTTTGCGGAACCCCTATCACTTTAAGAACCGCTGGTCTACACAGAAGAACGACCCGTCTAGACTCTGCCCCGGTACGAGTTGTGTCGAGCTATTCATTAGTCTGTTTGATGAGAAAATATGAAATTGATAAAATGGGTTATTAATCCGTACAACTGCAGCAGTGGAGGACTATTATTCTGCTGCGTGATACTGCAGAAGAACTGATGATGGCACTGTTTGATATTCGGCTGACCAATCAGCAGAAAGGGGCGTTTAATTCCCGCCCACATGTAGAAATCGAATATTCAAGCTGTTTATTCATTTTTCCACCCATGAACGAAAAACGAAAATTAAAGCTAAATTCTCTTTTTCGTTTTTTGGAACGAAGGAGCCGTTTTCTCATTTTTCTACTTTCAATGTTAAATCAAAAAACAAATGATCGAATGATACACGGATTCGCTTAGAATTCAAACCTTGAATTTGTTTCATAACTGATAAACTTTGTACTTACAGAACTGAATTAATACAGAACTCTAAGTTGTTTCATAATTGATAAATATTGCAAAATTAACGGTTACTTTATTACTATGAAGCTAAATAATTAAGTAAATAATATAAATAAATAAAAATAAAAATAAATATATTTGACTTGACTTTAGGGGGCTGCAAAGAGGTGCTTAGGGGTCGGTGGAATTTTATTTTATTTTATTTTTTCTGGGAATAAAACATTAGAAAATGTATTTACAGCTGTCAAAGTTAACATGTATGTAAAATACATAAGACTATTATTCAAATATGGGTTAAAATAAAAAATAAAAATAATAATAGACCAGATATTAAATACATGCAATAATATTTTTTTTTTTACATTTTCCAAATTTTGTTTTATTTTGCTTTCTAAAGACTAGATGGAATAATTAATAAGTATTCACAAATATAACAAATAATTTACAGCCTTTATTTTAAGATTCAGATGTTTTCAATTGAATGCAAAGTAAAAAATTAAGTGCAATATAAAAGCCAATTATTTAATTTTGGAATTATGTCTTTATAATATGATGCTTAATACCTTTCTCACACAGTATAAATAGGTCTGTAAAATGTAATTTTGAAGATGACATATATTTGCGTCATATATTTTAGAAAAGGGGTCCCTTGCAAGGGTTTCTGTCATTTTCTGGGGGCTTTGGCATTAAAAAGTCTGAAAATGAAATACTCTAAATGTTCAGAGTAAAATTCGAGCCACATCTAGTTTCCCAAACTGCAGATGAATTAACTCATTCGGAATCATCATTCTCTCTAAAACCAAATCGGAGGAGAGACAATATGTCCGCAGAGTCAGCATCTCTGCTCCCAGGGCGTGACTTTTGACCCCCTGCGCTGGTTCATTAGCTGAATTAGATGGATGATGTTCTCAGCCTCGAACGCATTGTCTGCATGTGTGTGTGTTGTGTGGACACTGCGGCTTTTCCTCGAGTGAGATGTCAGCACTCGCACAGGCAGGCTGGGAGAGACGGCTCCTGATGTTAACTCTGCTCCGCGTTAATGGAGTGTTGTCTTGCAGGCTTGATTATAGGATGATCTGTGAGTCCAACAGATTAACATCCCTAATGCTTTCAGCAGGCTGCTTAAGCCTCCTTCTGAGCACTCAATAAGATCCGCTGTTCATTACTCTGACTCTCTCGACCACACACACACACACACACTCTACATTCACTGCTTATTACCCTTAGGCACACAGAAATACACACACTCATTATTAAGGCCTTTCACACCCTCATTGTGAAGGCGACGTGGACAAGAGGGTCTGGGCAATAAGAACACGCACAATGGGAGCGGCAAACTCAGGTTGTGAGTTTGTGTGTGTGTGTGTGTGAGTGCATTTCTGAGATTAAAAGGTGTTATCAGCTATAATTAAAAATTATTAATGAATGCTACTCATCTGAAGGACGTTTACAGTGTGTGAAATTATAAAAACAAACAGAGGATGTTTACATGGTTTGAAAACAGGGTCAAAACACTGTTATATTATTCAGACGCTTCTTTTTAATGCAAAAAATATGATCTGTTCTTTTTTGATTAAGCATTTCATAAGAGACCAAATTTTGTCATTATGTCTTTGTTGCGCGTACATACGTGTGAGTGAGTAAGTGAGAGAGTGTGTGTGCGTGTGTGTGTGTGTGTGTGTGTGTGTGTGTGTGTACAGAACAAAGCTCATGAAATAAATGAGGAAGGCAGATGGGAAACAGGTGTAAAGGGTCTGGAGGGAGAATTAAGATCTGGGGAGGATTTTATATTTACCTTCTTCATGTTAGTGCCCACATAACTCTTGGCCTCCTCTTTGAACTGTGGCAATCTGAAAACAAATATTACATAGAGTTATCGCATGCGTTTATGGTGACACTTTTTATGAGTGTTATAGAGGTGAAGTGTGACATTTTTGAACAACTACTAGCACAAAAACAGAACCATAATCTGTGGGCCAGCTGGGTGTGACATAACACTGAACCAATAGCATGAGTTTGGGATGAAACCGTGTTTGTCTGACCAAAGACAGAGTTATTATTTCACAGTTCCGTTTGGCATGACAAGCTCTGCAGAACTAACAGTTCGGCTTTAAAGGTCAATGGCTTTCTAAAAATGTACATTAAAATGATTCTCTAATCTACCAATCAGGGATTTTCAAACTCCAGACACACTTGTTTCATAAATGATTCAAAACTTCGCACTTACTGAACTGAACTGAATTAATACAGAACTAAATTGAGCTAAATATTGACACTATTGTTGTCTGAAAATCAAATTGCTTCATAATTGCTCAATTTTCCTGGGTTTATTACTATGAAGCTGCATTGAAACAATCTGTATAAATAAATGTAAATAATATAAATAAATAAATGTGACTTGAGTTTAGGGGGCAAGGAGGTGCTTAGGAGTTTGTGGAATTTTTCACATTTTCAGAAAATGTATTTATAGCTGTCAAAGATTTAACCCCTTAACTGTCACCCCCCATTTTTTTTAAATAGGCATGAAAGTGCACTATCCAAACTTAAATTGTTGTAATTTATTAACACTTTGGAATACAGACCTAAGGTTGGTCTGAAAAAGAAAATCAGTAGATTATTGCAAAAGTGGAATTTTTTCAAAAAATTTAAGTATCAAAAAGTTATAGAAGTTTAAATGTCCTGTAAATAAAATGCACTATATTAATTTTATTTATTATAAATATTTTACATAACAGGTTTTACTCTAAAATTGGTATACAATTAAAGCCTTATATCTAAATAAGTTATGTTCCAAATTTTAAGTTCATATGAAAAAAAATTGAGGTTTCTGTGAGATTTTTTTTTAGGGCGTTATTCCACAAACAGCCACCGGGTGCCATCCAAACTCCATTAAAAACAATTATATGCATTTTTGTCACAAATGTCTAGATTTCTCTGTCAATATTACTTCTATCTCAAAATCACCACCAAATATGGAATCCTGAGTCTCAGACCTTTCCAATTATATGTTTTTTGTCAAGATTATAAAAAGGTTTGATTCTAAAATGCATTTTGTAATATGACACTTGATACTGCCTACTACGGGGAAGGAGACCGCCAAAAGATTTTAAAGTACCATTTCTATGGCAACGCAATGTCCAATTTCAAAATGGATTCCACAGGATGAATCTTGGAATTCTAAGCTTTCGAATGATATATACTTAATGATGATTACTAAAAGAAAGAAAAAGGACAACAAAAAAAGAGCACCAAGCGTCCCACAGTTTAAATAATAATAAAAAAAGACAAAATAATAAATACATGTGATAATATTGTTTTACATTTTCTGAATTGTGTTTTATTTTACTTTCTAAAGTCTAGATGGAAGATGGAATACTTAATTCACAAATATAACAAATAATTATTCTATTTACAGCCTTTAAGATTCATGCATCTCACATTACTCTTGAACATTGTGTAGAAAATTTTTTGTCAGTTTAATGCAAAGTAAAAATTAAGTGCAATATAAAAGTCAATTATTTAATTTTGAAATTATGTCTTCATAATATGATGCTTAATACCTTTCTCACACAGTATAAATAGGTCTGTAAAATGTAATTTTGAAGATGACATATATTTGCGTCATATATTTTAGAAAAGGGGTCCCTTGCAAGGGTTTCTGTCATTTTCTGGGGGCTTTGGCATTAAAAAGTCTGAAAATGAAATACTCTAAATGTTCAGAGTAAAATTCGAGCCACATCTAGTTTCCCAAACTGCAGATGAATTAACTCATTCGGAATCATCATTCTCTCTAAAACCAAATCGGAGGAGAGACAATATGTCCGCAGAGTCAGCATCTCTGCTCCCAGGGCGTGACTTTTGACCCCCTGCGCTGGTTCATTAGCTGAATTAGATGGATGATGTTCTCAGCCTCGAACGCATTGTCTGCATGTGTGTGTGTTGTGTGGACACTGCGGCTTTTCCTCGAGTGAGATGTCAGCACTCGCACAGGCAGGCTGGGAGAGACGGCTCCTGATGTTAACTCTGCTCCGCGTTAATGGAGTGTTGTCTTGCAGGCTTGATTATAGGATGATCTGTGAGTCCAACAGATTAACATCCCTAATGCTTTCAGCAGGCTGCTTAAGCCTCCTTCTGAGCACTCAATAAGATCCGCTGTTCATTACTCTGACTCTCTCGACCACACACACACACACACACTCTACATTCACTGCTTATTACCCTTAGGCACACAGAAATACACACACTCATTATTAAGGCCTTTCACACCCTCATTGTGAAGGCGACGTGGACAAGAGGGTCTGGGCAATAAGAACACGCACAATGGGAGCGGCAAACTCAGGTTGTGAGTTTGTGTGTGTGTGTGCATTTCTGAGATTAAAAGGTGTTATCAGCTATAATTAAAAAATTATTAATGAATGCTCCTCATCTGGAGGACGTTTAGAGTGCATGAAATTATAAAAACAAACGGAGGATGTTTACATGGCTTGAAAAACAGGTCAAAACACTGATATTATTCAGATGCTTCTCTTTAATGCAAAAAATATTATCTGTTCCTTTTTGAATTAGCTTTTTATAAGAGACCAAATTTAGTCATTATGTCTTTGTTGCGCACACATATGTGTGTGTGTGTGTGTCCCTAATCTATATGCAGATGGGTAGAGTGAGATGTGCTCCGCGGTCTCATCCTCTCGTCTGTGCGGGATGTGACTGGAAGTCTAATGCGAGTGGATACGCACCTCTCATAAATGCCACCCCATAATCATGTTATTGCATTAGAGCAGCAGTACACTATGACCTGCATGAGAAGACTAAGGGCTTCTGCTCACAATTACACCACAATCATAGAACTGCATGTTAGATATGAACTAGTCAGAGCTAAAATTTAAAACTACATATTTCTAGATAGTTCATGATTATGATATATGGGCCATTTCAAGTCCAAAATGACGTCAGTGAACTATATTTGCATTTAATAATGGTATCTAGACATTTATGGCCAAGAACATGTTACAAATTGCAACATTTGAATATCACCGTGGAATTTAATATTCTTAACATTCTACTTTTCCACGACATTCTAATTTATTGAGATGCACCTGTACATAGACAAATGATATCATGAATAATTTAAGGTTCTAAAGTAGGCCCAGATGGTTAACTTCTTTCAACATTTTCCACACTGATTTTAAGGGAACGCCTGTGAAATTTAGCAGAATTCGTTTACTACACTTATTTGTAGCTTTTTCTATTGGACATATTGATAATTAATTAATTCAATTAAATAAATACAATTCAATTCAACATTTTGGGAAAGTAAGGTTTATTTAAATTAATTTATTTTTAAGAAATGTTTTAAATGATTAAATTGATTAAAATAAGTGTAAAATTATTATTAAATTGTATTCAAATTTTAATATATTAAATTGACTTTAAGTGACAGTAAAGACCTTTACATTGTTTAAAAAAAATTATATTTCAATAAATGCTATACTTTTGAACTTTGTACTCGAATAATCTTTACAAACATGGTGTCCACTGTCCACAGAAATATCAAAGCCACACAACTGTTTTCAACATTAATAATAATAAGAAACGTTTCTTAATGCAATAAATCAGCATATTAGAATAATTTTTGAAGGCCAGTGTGGCACTGAAGACTGGACTAATGATGCCAAATATTCAGCATTGCATCACAGGAATAAATTGCATTTTATAGTAATATAATATTGCAGATTTTTGGTATTTTTGATCAAATAAATGCAGCCTTAGTGAGCATAAGAGACTTCCAAAAACGTTTAAAAATCTTAGTGATGCCAAAACTTTTGAAAGGGACTATTTGAAGCAATTGTTATGTTTTCCCCATACACTGTGGTCCAGAGAGAGGGCACTGCAGAAGCAGATTCTGTGTGGGCCTGGTAATTAGCCATGCTTTGCATTGTCAGAGACTGATGCTTTCACCTGTCCCTATCTGCGTGTGAGGGGAAGTCAGAAACCTCCAGAGGTAATTGAGAGAGGCCTGAGAGTGAAACCAGAGCCCGTTACGGAGACAGACCCAGTTCCTGTTGTGTTTGGTCTCAGGTTCGGTTTGATTATGTGAACAGCAAGAACACGACTCTGTTCCTAATCCCCATCTCTACATCCCCTCTTCCATTCTCTCTCTAGTTACCTGGAGAAGAGCAGCTGCACCATGTCCACCAGCGTGTGCTCAGCTGACTTTCTCAGCAGCTCTGTGATGAGAAAAGAGCAAAACCAGAGGGGAAAAAAAAAACAGAAAGAAAAGGAAATGTTAGTCCAGAGGACAAGAGCAGAACCTCAGGGGCGCAAGAGTCCAGACTCTGTTTGGTCAGGATTAGAGCATGGGTTTATTACAGTCCTGAGAGCACAGGAGGCAGATTCACATATTGAGCAGTTCAAGATTCAGGATGAACAACATTTAGATTTTCTACAAAGCTATATACAATGCACTTTAAGCATACATTTTCCCCTGGGGATCAAACTCATGACCTTGGCATTGAAAGAGCCATGCTCCCCAAGCTGAGATGATACAGAAAAGTGAAAAGCACAAAGAAAATCAAAAAAGACACTTTTTATAGTTTCACTTAATTTCACTTACCACTTAATCTCATTTCAAAGCATATACGGAAACAGGACTGCATGATCTCACAAACAGATTCATTGGTCAGATGGGCTCCAACGGGAGTCAGCAGCAAAGTCCTTAAAACCTGGAAATAATAATATAATAATGATTAATAAAATAATAAAATCTTGTACTCAAGCGACTTATCTGGATGCATTTCAGACTAGTATGCAGTACTGGATTGTCAGATTAATCATCTGACCTAGATTTTTGCGTTTTAATATGTTGCCATTTTAGTTTATAAGTACAAATATTATTTGTTATATATACACTGATGTTTATAAACAGTGTAATAGAGATAGAAGACATTTATAATGTTACAACAGATTTCTATTTCAAATAAATACTGTTATTTTGAATTTTCCATTGATCAAAGAATCCTGAGTACAAATATTATTTGTTATATATACACTGATGTTTATAAACAGTATAATAGAGATAGAAGACATTTATAATGTTACAACAGATTTCTATTTCAAATAAATACTGTTATTTTGAATTTTCCATTGATCAAAGAATCCTGAAAAAAAAAAAACATAACATCATGGTTTCCACAAAAATAAGCAGTAGAATCATTTTCAATAGTGATAACACCACAAAATCAGCATATTAGAATGATTTCTGAAGGATCATGTGACATTGAAGACTGGAGTAATGATGCTGAAAAGTCATTAGTGATTTGCAATCACAGGAATAAACTATATTTTTAAAATATAGTAGTCAACATTTGAAGTGGATCAAAAAAGTTAATCAAAGTTGCCCTAAGACAAGAACGCATTTTGGTTTTAGGACAACTTTGATCCACTTCAAATGTGGACTAGTGTACATTAAAATGCTATCTATTTTAAACTGTAATATTATTTCACAATAGGATTGTTTTTACAGCATTTTTGAGCAAATAAATGCATCCTTGGTTAAGTGACTTAAAAAAAATAAATAAATAAATAAACTTACCAACCTCAGTTTGAACAGTAATGTACTTTTACATGTATTTAAAAACAAATAACAATTATTTAACATATGTATTAAGATATTTTTTGTTTATTCAATTATTTTTAATATATTTATAATGAAGTAGAATCATTTTCAATAGTGATAACACCACAAAATCAGCATATTAGAATGATTTCTGAAGGATCATGTGACATTGAAGACTGGAGTAATGATGCTGAAAAGTCATTAGTGATTTGCAATCACAGGAATAAACTATATTTTTAAAATATAGTAGTCAACATTTGAAGTGGATCAAAAAAGTTAATCAAAGTTGCCCTAAGACAAGAACGCATTTTGGTTTTAGGACAACTTTGATCCACTTCAAATGTGGACTAGTGTACATTAAAATGCTATCTATTTTAAACTGTAATATTATTTCACAATAGGATTGTTTTTACAGCATTTTTGAGCAAATAAATGCATCCTTGGTTAAGTGACTTAAAAAAAATAAATAAATAAATAAACTTACCAACCTCAGTTTGAACAGTAATGTACTTTTACATGTATTTAAAAACAAATAACAATTATTTAACATATGTATTAAGATATTTTTTGTTTATTCAATTATTTTTAATATATTTATAATGAATATTATTATTATTGAAAATATTCACGATAATTTTACAATATTTTTTTTCATTACAAAACAAAAGAAAAGTTGGCACTACCACACAATACGTAAGAGATCTAGTGTGATTGTTTTCTAGTGCATTACCTGGAGGATTTTCATCAGCACCACCTCATCACTGGCAGGGTCGGTGCCCACAAATCTTGCATGTGTGACTGCATCGGCCATGTTCTCGATGCCCTCCGCTGCCCCTTCCTGATTGGCATCTGTGGAGGACAGGGACGTGAAATTTAAAACAAACTAAAAATATCCTAATATATTCCCCCTCACTCTCTCATTAATGTTCCTGATTCTCAGCAAGATAAGTTGTACGTGGGTCATAATGACATGACCATGGTTACATGATTAATCTTACACAATTAACCTGGTCACCGGTTCAACCCCCACATCACTATCAACTGACCACACTCCAAGTGAAGAGCGCAGAACAGCCATCTGACATCTAATCACCAGATGTGTGCGCTTTTGTGGATGGCCTGGTAAATTGGCTGTCTAGGCAACGATGTTTTGAAACCCAAGATAGGCCAGATAGCAGGCTGGAGCCAGGCTGCTTTTTCTTTCCCATCGCCTTTAAAGAGCATTTCATTAACTAATAAGCACAGGCTGCCTGGGGAGGAGGCTGGGGCTGTGACTGCAGGTAAAGCCTTGACACAAGAGTGCATTCCACTTATTAGCAGGCAAATAACACACAGAAAGAGAGTGAGAGAGACTGAGACACAGGACAGCCTTTACTCTGAACTCTGAGTGAGAACCCAGATAGTTTTTAAGGTCTGGAGAAAGGCTTCAAATCGCCAAACTTTTTAATAATTGCCCAGTGATTAAATAGGAGGGCAATATACTGGTTGAAGCCAGGTTCATTTCTACCACTGTTATGCAAAATGTTGTCAGATATGGAGGAGGAGCTTGTGTGGTGTTGACCCTCTGCTAAGCCCTGCCCCCCTGTTACAGTTGCCAACACTTTCAAGCTTTACTACAAGAGCCTGCCTGTTCTGACACTATCAAACACAGAGAAACAACTGGATTAAATAAATGAATACAAAAACTATTACATAATGTGCATTTAAATCTAATTACTATATAATATACTATATATACTGTAACATTATATTCTACTATATTATATTATATACACTATAATTCAAAAGATTGGAGTCAGTATGTGTTTTTTTTATTATTTATATATAGTTATATATTTATATGTTATATATTCATAGTAATGATGCTTATAAATGATCAGAAGTGTAAAGAAAAAAGTATTTTACATCGGAGGAGACACTACAGGTAAATAGTATAAAAACTAAATAATAAAATTGTTGTATTACAAGTTTTCTCCAAAACACATTAATACAATATTGTATTAATTAATACAAATCTAGTAATCATTTATAATAATATATTTTTTCCATATATAATTAAATTAGGAACAAAATATTATATTAGCCAAATATGTAAAGCTGCAGTCCATAAGTTTTGCCTCTTTATCGTCATCTGTTTGAAACCTGCAATTGCAGTTATTTGCGGAAATATTTTCTTTACGCGAGTTCTGCACCGGCACGGCTCCTCAGCACAGATGAATCTAATGTTTTGAGGAGTATGTGTGGCTGTCAGTCACCGCTCTGGTGTAGTACTTTAGAATCACAGATTCTAGCCTACTTCTTGGAATATATGACCCAAATAAAAAGTTTCATCGGAAATTGTCATCTGAACAAGTAACAAGTCTGCCACTTTTGTTCTGACCAACTGAGGAAAAAAGCATTACAATAAATTGTGCTACCAATCGTGATTACATCTAACGATCGGTTAGCTCATATTGCATAAAACCATGCAAATTATTGTTGTTCTACTTTGTTCTTTTTCTAACATTCGTTCGGTATCTCACTATGGGAACGCCCCAGGCGTGACCGATTGCAGAAGCACCAATGACACCACGTCTGCCAACCACGGCAGACCAATTGCTGCAGCGATCAGGGAGTTCCGCCTCCCTGTATATAAACCGCAGCTACCTGCCGTCTCGTCATTCTCGCTCTCTTCCCCACGGAAGATTTTCGGAAGCTGTCCTCAGCAGACTTTGGGAATTATTGCTCAACAGTTATTGCTTACTGACGAAGCCGCAAGGTAACGTCGCAAATGCAATTTTTTCCTTAAAGTTTCTTTGCTGTGGCTGAGCTTTTCCAGACTCCCTGAGAAAGAGAAAGCGGCGTTTTTGAATGCCCCCATCAATCCAAAAGTTCTGTTCAGAGCAACTGTTACAGCGATGCGGCAACAATGTGATCTACGGTAGAGGGAAGGGGAGGCATTCGAGGTTTGTCTCCTCAGAAAGCCGGTGGCTCGGCCCTATAATCCTAGCCGGTCAAGTTTCAGACCCTCTGGGAAAGTAGGCTAGTCTGATTATCAGCATTCCCGCCCCGCTGCAACAACTGCGAAGCGCGGTCATGCAGACAAAAACCGGGTTTGTGAAACCGAAACCGTCGTACACAGCCGCAGCAGCGAAGCATCGTTCAGCTAACCCCAGGGTAACAAGCGGCGGCGGGGCTACCTGAGACATCGGTTCAGTTTCAGGAAGGGGTTGGAGACAGCACTCATGAGTTTCTCGGTCTCATCCCTTCAGAACGTTCCACTTCTTCCTCCCGTGGGGAAAAGGAAAAGGGATTCGACTACAAGAATCGTTCCTGCAGACCGTTCAGTGTTAAATGTATGCAGACGTGTGGCCCATGTTCCCCATGTCCCCCCGCAGATTCGCATATCAAAATACAGCATACGAGTATGCGAAAATTCCCTTTGGCCTCTCCCTAGCTCTGAGAATTTTTACCAAATGTGTAGAGGGGGCTCTGACTCGGTTAAGGAATATGGGAGTCAGAGTCTTGTCTTATCTAGACGACCTGCTCGTGTGTGCACCGTCTCCACACCAAGCAGTGGTCAATACAAATACACTGGTGACTCATCTGGAGAGACTAGGTTTCAAGATAAACCAGACAAAGA